TAAGGCACTTGTTACTAGTAGCGATGCACTTGTTCCTAGTCGCTTCTTGTTACTACTAGTAAGGCACTTGTTACTAGTAGCGATGCACTTGTTCCTAGTCGCTTCTTGTTACTACTAGTAAGGCACTTGTTACTAGTAGCGATGCACTTGTTCCTAGTAGGTTCTTGTTACTACTAGTAAGGCACTTGTTACTAGTAGCGATGCACTTGTTCCTAGTAGCTTATTGTTACTACTAGTAAGGCACCTGTTACTAGTAGCGTCCTTGTTACGATTCGGTTCAGCTCATCGGCCGAGGATCTGCTTGGACCAAGTGCACCAGGCCTTGAGGAAGAGGCTGCTGTAACCGATGGCGGCACGATGCGTGGTGGAACACTGGGACACAATGCGACAGAAGGCGCCCACGTCCAAAAGGACTAAGCCTCAACTCCAACTCCAACAACTTCCAAAACTCCGAGACTTTCGAACAAAAACTTTCGAACAAACACAAACTTGTTCATGAGTCATATGCTCGTTCCAAGAAGCGAGAGACGTCCTCCGCCACTAGATCACCCTGATAGACCCAGCTTACCCACAAGCAAATCTCCGCGATCCACGACTCCTCCGTCACGGAGACTTGATGCTCTTCGTCGTCCTGACTCGAGAAGTAGCCTCAGGAGTTTCTGGTGTTTTTTGGTGTTGGAACCCCCCAAAACGAAGACGACAGCTTGCGGACAAGGCAACTCAATGGGCCATTGATCTTGAGGAATGCATGGCTTGCCGTGCTGCCACACAAAAAGATCACATCTTTGGTGGCCGCCACCAGATCGGTCATCGCATTCACCGCTAAATCCTGCAAGACCTGCAGGACCTGCAAGTCGTCCGTTGGAAGAAGCCTCAGTTTTTTGGTGGAAACGGAAGTCGTTTCATCGAATTCTCACAGATTCATGTTGAACTGGATCATTTTCTGCATTCTCTTTATACACTTCAACAGTCACAAAACTGCTAAGGACTAAGTACCTAAGTGCAGAAAAGCATGACGTTTTGTAGATTTACAGCATGAACACATGATGCAAAAAGCTGGTGCCAAAAAATCGCACAAACACCAAGAGGCTCAGCAATAAAATCCAGCTTCTCCATGGATCCGGCGTTTCGTGCATATTCCAGTTCCCGTCTTAGAGTTGGAGACAGCAGCTCCAAAAGAGGCACATTGGCATGAGCGGACTTGGCTTCCTGCCTCAAATGGTACTGGTGCTGCAGAAAGCGCGAGATCTTGTGGCTCAACTCAGCTCCGATGTTGTTGTAAGCCAGGTAGGATCTCAGCAAGCGAAACTCAGAGGTTTCATCTTCCTTGATTTTGCTTAGAGCACTGGTCAAACTGGTGATCGAGCTCACTAGGGTGGCATAAGTCATTAAGGATCGAAAGGCGACGATCACGAAGAAGGCGATCTCCAAGGTATTGGTGGTCCTGATGGAGCTCAAGCCGACACCCAGCATCGCGAAACTCCAATTCAAACTCGTCAAGTACTGGTCCAAGACCGAGGCATCCCAGAGCCCGCTGGCCCTGGACAAAGAGAAAGGCCACGAGTTAGGAATTGTTGAGCCCGCTCCCCGCCTCCCTAGCAATGGCCTCCAAGCTAGCGATACCTAATAGATCCTAACAGTAACAGTCTTATTCTTTACGAACACCAACTTCAGCTTCGACGTTGCACTGACACAAGCTTCGAGATGACCCAATTGACCAAAGGCCCGAAACAAGCACTGAAGTAAATCGCCTAGACAGCGCCTGAAGACTCCCAAAACAACAAAGCTTCGGATTGGAAAATGACAACGATGAATGGGTTGACAACCGGTTGATTTCTTGCAGGCCTGGCCCAGTTCTGGTCTGGATAGATGAGCGCAATGCCCCACCAACAGCAAGCCAGCAAGTGATTCAATATCAAAAGCCGCACCCCTGCACTCACAAGGCTGTAGTAGAAAAAGGCCGTGTTGGAATGAAAAAGCTCCTGCCACAATTCGTCAGACCCTACCTTTGCACTTGCGTTGCGCTGTCAAATTCGCTTTCAACGACTAAACGAATGTATCTACCAAACAGTGTACCAACAGCTATGGCTATGCTGTTGGTGCGCCACTGTCAACTTGATGAAAAAGTCACTGTACTCTGTGCAGTCTGTGGGAGGACACGCTGCGAATTCTTCCTCCACTTTGCATAACTGGATGAGTTTGAGAGCAGCTTATTATAGTTCGTGATGTTGCTCTTGATGCTTTTGGCCTTGAACTTGGTCCCATGTGCACGCACAGTTTGGCTCATCACCTGGACGGCTGTTGCCATTTGCGTAGCAAGGTCTTGCTAGCAGTGCAACTTGCCTCTAGTTGCTTGAACATTGGTTTTGTGCCAGAACCCGGGCGCCAAGAGTCTCCTGGAGCCTTTCAATCAAAGGATCCACCTGCTCTCAGGTATGGTCTCTAATCTGCTTGAGCAACACCAAGGTGGCCAGTGCGCAGAAAAGCGTGTGGCACACGCACTGACTGCGGTTTGTGGCCATACTTCGAACGCTTTACACAGCCAGTCGGGCAAAACTTGGAGACTTGAAAACAGAACACGAAGACTCTGGAAAAAAATCATATCTCCAAAAAGCACCACTACTTCCAATGAACCCTGCCTTAGCTCATGCTTCTTGGGCTTTGAGCAAAGAATCCAGATTACATGCTGCACCACCTCTCACCCGTCTGGTTGTTTCTTTTTGAATTCAGGATCCGCATGCTTGCCAAAAAGGTTGGTCTCTGCTAGTGCCTTCCTGCACAGTTCACGCTCCACACTCCCTACCCTTCGGCTCCTTGAAGGCCTCTGTGACCCCCCTGAGCTTCAGCCATCGCAAGACGCGCACGAAGCGCAAGAAGCGAATGGCCCGAAGAGTTCGAGACCAGGCGATCAAATCCGCTTGCCCATCCTCGGTGTACACCGATCGGTGTCCGGTTGCGAACGGCGGAATCGGGAAGGCACTTGGGACCGAGCAGCATCTTCCACAAGGTCCAAAAAGATGAAGAGCCAACCCATGATGACCAGGAGAAAATCAAAGACGCCCCAGGTGACCAGATATTGCCATGCGGCTTTTCGGATGTCCAGGATCAAGGTTCCCCGGCGGTAGAAGCCTGTGAAGGCACCCACGATCAGATCAGCTTGCCAAAAGATTTGCGTCATCCATTCCAAGACTTTCAACGGCACATTCTCTGGCGGATCAAACACATACCTAAGCGGTCATTTGAGTGGCACAAGGTATGAAGCAGTCACAGAATTGGGTGCCAGCTAGCCTTTGGATTCTTCTGGGCTTATACATTGTACATTCGGTGAATGTATCAGCTCTTGCCCATATATGGCGTAATGAGTGGTTGTGGTTATGGACACCCTAATAACTTTTATTGCCATTTCCAATAGTGACAGTAGCTGCTGCTAGCTCAGGTTGCTCGCATTACCCCACTGAATTTCGATGGATTTGGCGCAGCTGGCGCCCTGTGCGATCTCATTTCGACTCCTTGCTGCCCAAAGGGCACTGGAATGATCACCAAATCGTGCAGCACACATGCTGCTACGAGCATGTTCCACATGGTCTTGAAATGGCCAGCAGGATGTAAGGCTCTCATCTCACGCACATTTTTCACATCGTCGACTTTCCTGAGACGCTGAATCACTAGCGATGTCCTTTGTTACTAGTGGCTTCTTGTTGCTAGTAGTAAGGCCAGGAGCCCCTAGTAGCGTCCCTGTTCCTAGTAGCGATGCCCTTTGTTGCTAGAAGCTTTTGGTTACTGGCAGTTTTTCACATGTGGAGAACGAAGCACGAACATACAACTTCATCTGCAGCTCTGCTTCGTCTTCTCCGATGTCGAAGTGACTGTTAACACAGCTGTCTTGGATGCTCGTCTGTTGGTGGAGAACTGGTATTCCTTCGCGGTCAGGTCTCTTTTCAAGCAGAATCTCAATCTGTCGATATTTGACCACTTTTTCTCACACTGGTCTCTTTCAAGTTGCAGCATCTCGCCTGAATCAATGCTTCACACTTTTTCTTTGAATCCAAAAAGAACCAAACATGCCGCTCCTTGCGCATGTCCTCCTGCCACACACCCAGCACGGCCAGCTGATTGTCGCTGTTTGAGGAGCCCATGGAGTGACTCCCCAGATTCAGCGCCATCTGTTGCGCGTTCTTGGCACGTTCCTGGCCACTTTAGTGGCTATTCCAAATTGGGTCACTCAAGGATTGGATGGTTTCCAACAATGATCACTAATACTAAGTCGCTACTAGGTTGGAGGCCATCGCTAGTAGGTTGGAGGCCATTGAACAGGAATAGAAAACATGATTGACGAGAACAGAATGGTTTTAAACAATGATCACTGAATGTGGAATCGGATCAAAGCACTCAGCATTGGGTCGTCGCCATACCTTGAACTGGTGAATAACCTACGTTGGAGAACCTCCATCATGATCAAAACCACAATTCGCATCATTCTCATCATCTGAGTACTGTTCCTAGTAGCGATGCCCTTTGCTTGTGATCATCCCACCTCAAAAGAATATGAACAATTGAATCTTGTCAGTTCACGTTTTCGGCTTTGCTTTCGCATCGCGGCCTTGAGAGAGGTCAGTACCACGTTGGCCACGTTGGCCACGCCGGTCCCCTGACGTGGAACCTCAAAGCATCGGCTTCTTCGAACCGTGGTAACCGTGGCCACATCAACGATTCTGCCCCTACTGGCGTCCGATCGCACTGTTCATAGCGATGCCCTTTGCTCCTAGTAGCGTCCTTGTTCCTAGTAGTTCTATTCTCATGAAAAACGTTTTTTTTTCCTGTTCAATGGTCTCCAACGTACTAGGGATGGCCTCCAACCTGGGAACTACACGAGCGGAAGAAACATGTTTGTGACGTTGTGTTACATGTCAGAACAAGTCGCCAAGCCTCCTACTGGGTCTTTTTGTCAAGCCCCCAAGCAGAATCGTACAAACACAAAACATCTCCCCACCAACGAAGTGCAGTCTTTCATACAAACGGACATGTATGATACATCCAGGTGCCAAGAAAAGAACTAATTACACCATGCTCTTCTGCTCTGCACATAGAACCGAGCAAATAGGCTTTTGTGGGCGGGGAAACTTTTGTCTTATTACTTTTTCAAACGTGTATGACATATGAAATGTAATGCAACGCAATGTTATATGTACATTCGTGTTGCGGTACACACACACACACACACACCAACGAGCAGGGTTACCTGACTCACAGGACATGATATCCAAAAGCAACAAACAAAATCAATCGTTCTTAGTCTGCTATGTCCTCCATTCTTCTTTCTTTTTTTTTTCTCTCTCTCTCTCTCTCTCTGGGCTCGGCCATGGTACCTTTAGCTTGTCGTCCAATCCCGCCGAGCTCAAGAAGCTGCTGGACCTCAACCTGAAGGGCGAAAGGGGAGGGGCAAAATGCTTTGACGCACATGCCGACGCATGTTCGTTTGCAACTTTGCACACACACACACACACACTACAGTACAGCAAAAGGAATGGAACCTCCAGGTTCTTGGCTTTGGGGACGGAACATCCACGTCTCTCCCACAGCGCCTTGAAATGGAGTGCTGAGACTTCAATGTAGTGAACCCCGGAGAGCTCGGAGAAGCACAATTGGAATTCGGCAAACTCCTGGATGCAAACATAGTAACAAGAAGCTACTAGGAGCAAAGGGCATCGCTACTAGAAACAAGAAGCTACTGGGAGCAAAGGGCATCGCTATTGGGAGCAAGGACGCTAGCTACTAGGGGCTCCTGGCCGTACTACTAGGAGCAAGTAGCTACTAGTAACAAGAAGATACTAGTAACATAACAAGAAATCCACCAGCCATGACTTGCCCCATGCAAATCATGAACAAATGATCATCAGTAGTTGTTGCTTGCTGTTGAGCATAACCCCACATGAGCAAGCAACCACCCCAGGTCTTTTGGCACTCCTCGCGTTGATCGGTACCGGCGGAGGTGGCGCATTGTCTTCCTCGTGAAAGGATTGCAGCTCCTCAACCTCAAGACCTGGCTGGTGCGAAGGCCTTCAAGCTAAGCAAGGACATCACAGCGAGTGACTCGATGGCCAACCTAGAAGCGAATGGCCTCCAACCTACTAGCGATGGCCTCTAAAAGAGCTACAATAATGAGAGCAATAATGGGTATACGTCGTATACGAGTCGTATACGTATCGATACAGTATCAGCACTGGCGGGTGAACTCATGACGCGTGACTACGCCTGACTACTTGTGACAACGACTCGCAGCCGCCACATCGGAGATGGACGTCACGGAGCTACCTTTCGAGATGGGTGGTGAATTGGAAAGGTCTATTCAATGGCGACATATGATGAACCAATTGATGATTGATGGTTGTATTTCTTTGATGATTGTCACCTAACGGTCGATGATGATTTTGTGGTTTACCAATTGTCACTGGTTGATACTTGTGGATCATTGATGAGGGTGGCACGATGCAGCTTCATGGAATATGGGCCTTAACAAGTGCTAAGAGACACCCAGTCCCAAAATCGTTGCCAGCCTGGGCTGTCTGGGCCGCTGCCTTCCTGCAGCTTTCGGACGTTGAGCTCGCCTTTGGCCAATCGGAGATCTTCCTGGTAGCAGTCCGCCAACCTTCGGTGCAGCTCCCAGAACTGGCTGCCCATGGCAGAAAGCGCCGTGCGCAGCCGCTAGAGACAGCGCTGCGCGATGGGCCTAGGAAAGGTGCCCTGCCGAGGCTGGCTTTGGAGTAAAGCCTGAGCCTGAGGCGATTTACCACGGGGACCTTCACCAATAACTCCTTTTCATTCCAAGTTGCAACTAAGCCGATGGAGACAGCGGTCGTTCCCAAGCAAACTGAACCCCCCAATCATCCCCACCTCGTTTGGCATCGTCCAATCTTCCAAAATCCCTGGTATCAAAATGCGGCACTGTCACGAAAACCACTTCCAGGACATCCCAAAAAAATCCATCACTGTTTGGCGGGTACTTCAACAGAGACCAACGGCTCCTTTCACCTTTCCTTTCGTTCTGACCATCTTTCACTTGGCATCTTTCTCTGTAGAGATTTCGCGTCACTGGCGAGAGACGTGTACTGTCGCATGGTATGTCCGGGTACTCACTCTTTGGACGATATACAGAAACAGTTTTCACTTCTCATGCACAAACAATAGGGTGATCTTTGTAAGGATGTGCGCCACGTACTGATGTGCCTCGAGGTGCAGCTTTTTCGTGAGCAGCACACAGATTTTATGTGCTTGCAAATCTCGTTGTACTGTACAAGTCAGCGCTCCACATGAGCAGGTCTCCATGTACTCAGCCTCACCAGCCTAAGACCTTAGGAAATGAGGGGCTCTCTGCCTTTTTCTTTCCCTAGCCTTTTGGATCCTTTTCAGACCAACCAAGCTAATGCAGCATGACACAGTGGCCTAAAAGGGCATGACATAGGGCCTCTCTCCGCTAAAAAACAATGAATTCGTTTGAAGTTTGGAGAAATGAAGTAAGGCCAGGAACCCTGGTAGCGTCCTTGCTCCTCTTGCTTCGCCTTGAGTTCCCGGGCTTCACTTCTGCTCTGTAGTTCTCGAGCGGGTGCTGTGCAACGGAGAGAGCGTTTCGCGGAGCTGGGAGTCTTGCTAAGCGGAGCATGAATGAACAAACAGCTTCTGCCATCAAGCCAACAGTTGCGGGCCTGGAGAAAGTCGGGGATATAGCTTGGAAGTTCACCGTGCGCACGCCTACGCATCTCTGCACCCAGGGCCGTGCGGGAAACAATCTTGGAAAGTAACGATGCCCTTCTTACTAATAGCTTCTTGCTCCTAGTAATAAGGCCAGGAGCCCCTAGTAGCGTCCTCCTAGTGGCGATGCCCTTTGCTCCTAGTAGCAACCGCGGCCTCGTCAAATACCAAGCGCTGCCGGTCAAGCAACCGACCATGCACAATGAACCTCGGCGAGTTTTTCCGGAGTAAAGCCATATTCATTTGCCGAGTCTCTATCACCGCCACACACTTATAGATATGCATACTGACTGGACAGCGGTGCCACACGCCGGCCTAGGGTACCATTTCCTAAGAGTACAAGTAAGAACCAAAGGACCCTGGAGGTCTTCAAAAGGAAGTGAGGCCAAAAACTCAAAGCGAGGTCGAACCGACAAGCTGACGACGGTCGCTCGTGTCTGCCGAGTGCATTAGCCCTTTACAAATCTCAAAATTGTTGCAGGGTACGTCCAGCTGGCCAAGCTGGATATCTCACCAGATTGCATAGCTTTGTTTGACACGGTCTGCAATCTGGTGCCGTGTCCCCCTGCTTAAAAAAGAAAAAGAAAAATAATTCGTCAAGTCAAATTCAAAAGAATCCCTGTGACTACAAGGGGCACACACACACACAGCCCGAAACCTAAGCTTTCTTGGCCACTTGTGAGGTTTCTTGGCGTGGACACCTCGCCCAGATTCCTCCCAATCGAAGACTGAGTGTAGGAGTGCACGCTCACCCTTTCACTCAATTCCTTGGGTTTTTCTGTTCTGTCGCAGCTACCACCTTTACCTCAAAGAATCCCCAAGTCATGTGAAATGACGACTAGGACGGGTGAGGAGAAGCCATGCTGCGCAGTATGTGTATGTGCGCTTGGGCATCCGACCCAAAAGCATTCCAGACATCATGGCCCCAGTCACCGTTTCCTGGGAAAGGTCGACGTCAAATCGGCCATCCTAAGAGCGGCCTCCAAGCTTCGCATTTGTTTCTAGCGATCTTAGAAATTACTGATCCTGGAAACCTGAGTCGCTGCATCTCATCGAAGCTCGTACACGGGAACACAACGCTTGGACGACGGGCGTCTTGTCCATGCCATTCGCGCCTGAGGGCAGTCGATGACCACATCTTTGGGAAGAGCCCTCGGTTGCACCTCAGATGCAGATCCCCGCAGCCAAGACTTTCACTTCGGAGAACAGAATGCCGAGCAAGAACTCCGGTTCCAGTCGACAAACGGCTCTCTGACTCTGAACTAGCATGTTTACACTCTCATTGGAGCTCAGGAATCGAAAGCAATGACCTTCTTGGAAAGTCTGGAAATTGAAATCTCTTTACTGAGGCTGCGGGCCATGGACAGTTCTGGCTGATGCTCCTTGTCCTCCTTCGACTTGGGAGCCTATGATACACCGTGCTAGCTACCAAAGGTGATGTCTGCATGCAAAGTGCCACCCGCACTTTGTAATTCAGGGGTTCAGATGGATTTCTGTCCATTCGCTTGAACAAAGAAGCGACGTCATTCTTCACACTTGCCTCCCGCAGGTGTGAGTCGGATTGCCTCGGGTGCTGAAAAAAGACGAGGTGCTACACTCGTTCTCCAAACACTTCTTTCTATCACTTCCATGACCTAGGAGCAGGGACGGCTCCTGGCCTTACTACTAGGAGCAAGACGCTGTTAGGGGAGCAAGACGCTATTAGGAACAAAAGCTACTAGGGGCTCCTGGCATCGCTACTAGTAACAAGAGTACGAACGGAGCAAGAGGACGCTACTAGGGACACCTTTGGCCTGCCTACTTCTGCGCTCAAAGCAACGACAGCTCGAAGAATCGGAATTGTCTCGCCTCTGGAAGATCTGTGGAGCCTCCGACGGCAAAAAGGGATGCTACTAGGGGGCTCCTGGCCATACTACTAGTAACAAAAAGCTACTAGTAACAAAGGGCATCACTAGCTATTAGGTGGAGGCCATCGCAAGCAGAATGGAGGCCATCGCTATTAGGAACAAGGAGGCTATATTTTTTAAGGTTTCCCAAAAAATCTAGGAACCAAATGAATAGAAGCGTGAGCTATCCTGCGTCCATGCTAGTAGCTTAAGTAAGGTACTAGTTACCTCAGTTCCTTAATTAAGCAGGCGCCCACCACAAATCGCCCATAGCGACGTGGGAGCGGTGTGGAAAAAGCGACCTGAAGAGATGCTGGGAGTGTTGAGTGTGAAAATGGTCTTTCAACCCGATGATGTCGAGGATGTCCTTTCCTAGACTCCGGTGCCCAAAAAGCTCTTTGGACTTGACTTCGGTGAATATCATTTCCTTGTCCGTCCTTTCAGGGCTCGAGAAATCGATCCGGGCTCAGTTTCCCGCCTGCGGCTGCGTCGCCAGGCCCAGATTCAATTCGCCCACCTCGATGCTTCGCCCCGCTTGGGGCGGATCCACGCGGCGTGTGGGGAGTCCACACAATCCAAACGGATGTGCGGAAGGGAGACGTTTTCAAACAGAAGCCCTTCGCAGATCCTTTTAGAACAGTTCGGAAGATAGAAAAATGCCCTACGAACACTCTCGGTGCAGGGCAAAGCTCCAATGAGGAGATCCTTCTGGGTTGGGATAGTACACGTTGGTCCTTTGCTTCGCTCGACTTTTCTCATCGAAAAAAGCATGACAAAGGCACGTCGAAGCGGCAAGTAGAATGGACCTCGCTAGTAGAATGGAGGCCATGGCTCTTAGGTTAGTAGATGTTAGTAGTACTTGCTAGTGTTTTTTCTATCCTTTCTATGAGGATACGAAGTTCAGAGATCGTGAAAGCGAGGAATTCCCAACTCATCCTGGGCGTCTTTTCGCCACTCTGTGGTAGTCGTTCAGCACCTGGACCTGGGTGCTGAAACGTGAGCTGAAGAACGCCTGAACTGCCAAACCGATTATCAAGCAATCAACAACGACAAGTGGCGCTTTGTCAACCACCCCCTACCTACTGCTAGGTTTCTTATGTTTCTTGGGGCATGGCTTAAATGCCCCTATACTAGAAGCAAAGTGCACTGGTTAAAACAAACTTGATCTTATGTGGCGCTTTGGCTGAATATTTTATTGTCCGCTGTTCAGTTCGTTGCCATGGAGGCAACCTGCTACTCGACACTCCTTTTTAGCGCAGCCCGCTCTGCCCAAGGTTTGCTGTGGAATTCAGCAAGGTCCATTGGCACTTCATCGACCGACCATGCAAACGAGTGTCCTTTTGTTGGGAAGCTTGAACCTTGAATGATCCTAGGAAAAAGATAGCAAACAACAAGCTGGTTTGAGACGAAGCGATGTTCTTGTCAGAGTTTTGTTCGAATTGTTTTGTCTTTTTGTTTGACAATCTTGAGAATGTGTGTCAATTCTGGAGAGAACAAGCCCATTTGAAATCACCAAATGCCAATGGGCTACTGCGCTTGCAAACTAAAGAATTGGGAAATTCTGTCGACCGTCAGAGACCAACGGCTCGACAAACCTGTCAGAGGCTGCTCGTCGAAGCCCTTGAAATCGGAGCTCAAAAGAGCCCATGCTTTTTCTTGGCGTTCTCCTCGCGCCCCGAGGACAGCAAGGGTGCTACTACGGGCGCTCCTGGCCTTACTACTAGGCCTTACTACTAGGAACAAGAACGCTAACTAGGAATAAAGGGCATCGCTACGAACGGAGCAAGGACGCTACTAGTAGAAGAAAAGATCAAAGAAAGGCTTCTAAAATGTCCCAAGGTTGACCTGTTCAATGGAGTGAACCAAGAGTCACCTGCTCCTATGTCAACCAATTCGCTCATGCTAACAACCCAGGCTCTTCTGTACCATTGCCAGTAAAAACTGATGTTCAGTCTTGTATCTATTTCCCCTCCAGAGTCCCCTCGCTTCAGAACAAGGAAGGCCAAGAGAAAAACAAAAAAGACACATTTTTGTTTTCTCTAACATCTCTTGGGCGTACTGTGCATTTACCAAACACCGTCCTTTTTCCACTTTGGCATCTTTGCAAAGTCGGCCTGCGGTAAGACATGGAGGTTCTTGGCAAAAAGGATGTTGACCGACTTCTTTGATGAAAAACACAGAGACTTTGCTTTGGCAATTCCGCACATGCACAAAGCCAAGATTTGCAAAGAAAGCTTGCATGGGTTCTCCAGTTGCGGCGTGCCAAGAGTCTCGCAGATCGAAAGTTGGTCGGCCTTGGACATTCCAAAGAGTTGCTGGAAGATTCCATCCGGCAAGTAGGTCTCTCCTGAGCTGCCCATCTCTAAAACAACTACAAGATACTAAGACCCGAGTTTCAGTTTTTTTTGAGAAAAAGGGTCTGAGCTGAACATGACCACATTTCCGCTTAGCGTGCTTGCTCTGTTGGGCTTTGCTAGTGCTCGAACTCTCTTCGGTCTCTCATCTTCATCTCTCAGGACCGGAACGCTCGGTGGAAACCACATCCAGCTTCTCCCAGGTTCGCTTGTCGGTCAGTTGCCTCAGATCGGCCATCGCCAACAGGCAAACTCAGTTGCACACATTTGGAGCGAGATTTGAGGACAGGAGTTTGGATCTTAGTTGATGTCTGATCCTTAGTTGTCCAGATGAAACGAAAAAGAGAAGAAGAAGAAGAAGAAGAAGAAGAAGAAGAAGAAGAAGAAGAAGAACAAGAACAAGAACAAGAACAAGAAGAAGAGAGACAGATGGCGGCGCATAGTGATCCAACAAAGGGTGTGAAAGATAGTGCGTAGCCAATATGTACAGGGTGTGGATCAAAGATCACCTAGTGCTTGTTTCTTAAGTAGTTTTTCGTTTTTGATGACACATCGTTAGTGACGGTTGTGTGCAACCTCATGCAGATTGCCTTCTGGTAGTATATGGTTGTTCATGGTGCTTTTAGAATTCTTCATTGGACAACGGATGGCCATCGCTTCTAGGTTGGGCCCACCAATTCTGAGAGCTGAGAAGACCAGGGGAGACAGCGAATCGGTCAGAATGGACTGGCAGGAGTGGTTCACTGGTCGCGCTTCTGGGACGTTCCCACGAAGGATGCTGTTCAGCAACGAATGGAAAGGGCATGCAATTCCGACATTGATTGTCCCCCAAATATCGAACGACATGAAGATCTTAGAGAGAAACGACATAAGGATCATGCGAATTCATGGACCCACTTTTCCGCGATGAACTTCCCAACTCTTCAGGTTCCGAGCTTGCCGTGGGTCGTCAAGGAACTGAAGCACTGAAGCGGCGCAGAACCGAAACGACGTGCGAGGTCGCACTGAGCCGAAAATCGCAACTGCTCCGAGTGGCTCCAAGCTGTAGCAACCTTCAGGGATCTCCTGGAGATCGGTTCCCTCACTGCCATGCTGTCACGTGAGAAAAGCCTTTCCGGCTGAGACCCGATTGAATCTCCTTTTCGGTTGAGTTTTGGAGTCCAACATTGGGCTCCATCTCTTGTGGTGCTTCCATCTCTTCAAAAAGAATCCTTCACCCGTAAAACATCAACTAATGAGTTCTGAAGGAACTTTCTTCAGATCTCTTCTGTCTGCCAAAGACGATTGCGCCTCTGCTGCTGCGCTGGTCGTGCTGGCAGCCTCGGCAGCCTTCCCTGGAGCGAAGCGGTCGATGCTGCTCCCCACTCTGGAACGATTTGCCTCTAGAAAAGGAAAGAAGAAGTTGAAGATATTGCAATGGGCTGAGGGAGCATTCATAACAGCTTTGCATTCGGCCACAGATCTGAGCATAACATAGTCACAGTATGCTGCGCATCAAAGAGTTTCCTCCTTTTTGGTTCTGAATGGTTTGGAAAAGAGGAAGAGAGGAAGAGACGAAAGAAGGAAGATCTGTTTGAAAACACACACAAGAAAAATGATGTCCAAAGATCTAAAAAGGCAAGGGGGAACATCTTTTGGTTTCTCCCACAATCACTCGCACCTGAACTGGCAACTGGGCTCGGACTTGGACTCTCCGTAGGAACGCTGGCCTCTGATTGGGTGTCTGTGACGAAACGGAAGAGTTCAGAGGCGGTTCCTTTGTCCACAAGTATGATGATCTCTTTCTTTTATAGTTTACTACGCCTGGCCTTCAGAAACGCCTCCCCCGTGTTAAACAGCCTTGTGCAACCCCCCTGTTTTGTGTCCCAATCCAGAGCCCTTTTTGCGAGCTCGGTTGTGTTAAAAACAACAAGGGGGGTCTCGTTACTAGAGTCGAGCGCTATCTTTTAACGTCTTTCTTTCTTTCTTTCTTTCTTTCTTTTGAAACTAGGATGGAGGCCATCGCTAGAAGTTTTGACGTCTCATCCTTCATCTCCTGATCCTCGCCGCCAGCCCCCGCCTCCGGTTTGGACACGGAGCCCGAAGCGGCCGAGGCCGGGGAGGTGGGCGATGGCGCGGCCACGGCCTGTGGCGTCGCAACAGACTTCCAAGACCCGAATAAGAAAGAAACCCAAGTAGCGATGGCCTCCAAACCTACTAGAGATGGCCTCCATCCCAAGTAGCGATGGCAATATATGCTGCATTCCAACAGTTTCTCCTCCTTCGACCCAAGACTTGGCTTCTTCTAGTACGCTTTGTCCACCCACCGGACAACGGCACCTCCTTGAGCACTCCGGCGTCCCGCCCTCTCCGGAGCAATTCCAAGAACTCCTAAGCGCCGGAGTTTGGGGCCCTTCAGGTGTCTGCACCTGCCAGTCGGTTCTTGAAGGGATGACCTTTCAGGATCGATCTCAGAAAGGTTTGAAGGAAGAGAAAGAAGACTCAAGGACCAAAGGGACCAAAGAACCAAAAGACAGTTCAAAGACTCCGAATGCCTCGAATCCGTCCTCTCGTTCGATGCATCCGGTGGGGTCCAAGCCGAAGCCGATGGCTTTGGCTTTCAGCTCCTTTGGGCCAAAGAGGTGGAGAACCGCGCTAGGCTGGGCCGTTTGACCTTCGGCCAACCTACTAGCGACGGCCTCCAATTCGCTTTTAGTAGCGATGCCAGGAGCCCCTAGTAGCGAACATTGTTACGAGTAGAACTGTTTTGGACCTTCAACAAGTCCTTCATATTCTTTCTTTTCCTTTGACCTTCTGTATCCTTTTGTCCTTGCTATCCTCTATTGAGCTGCACCCGCTCCCTTACTCAACACTCGGCGGTTCAACTATTTTTTACTTCTTCGTTTTTGTGGCCATCGCTAGTAGGTTGGAGGCCATCGCTGGTATAGGATGGAGGACTCGTCTTTCTAGTAAGGCACTTGTTACTACTAGCGTGGCACTTGTTTCTAATAGCAAACATTGTTCCTACTAGTAAGGCACCTGTTCCTAGTAGCGTGGCACTTGTTTCTGTCTTCTCTGTCTCCTTCAAGCTCAACGCCGCCATGGCTTCTAAGAACTCGTCCGGTGGGGGGCTCGTCCACTGACACTTGGCGCCCTGACAACGGACTGGCCACACCGAACAAGCGCCCCGCACGGTGAAACGGAATCCTTTCACACTCAAGGACTTCAAGATATTCGATCTGAAGCAGTTCCCCATTTCTGCTGCAAGGACGCATCCGACGTGCGGCTTCGCATTTCAGGACACTTCTGACCGACGGTGAGGTCATCAACGGTAACGTACAAACAAGGATCCCCACGTGCTTTCCATTTTCATTGCAATATCTCCATACCATTTGCTTGCAACACTTGGCACGGTTGGGATCGTGATATCCCCACCAATCTGGCATCTGAGTCTCATGCGCAAGAAAAACTCTCCAACCCACGCCTTGAAAGTAAGCACGTCATCCTTGGTCAAGGTCCACACAAGTGTAGCGTCAGGAGCAAATCTTGAAGCTTTTGGATGTTTTTCAATTTCGCACGACGAACATCCCAACTGTTTTGGTTGCAAGTCTTGTCATTCAGCAAAAAGAACGCTTTAAACAAAAGGAGGCCATCGCTATTAGGTTGGAGGCCATGGCATGTAGTTTTGGTTGCTGCGACTCAAACATTCCCCCTTGGCCTCCAATGCCCACCTCCGACAGCCGAGGATCATCCACCGACAACTCGATGTCACGATCACATTTGGGGCCTCCTAACGGGTCCTCCAACATGCGAACCACGTCGGAAGGGTCGGCAGATCCATGTGGCCGTGAAGAAACAAAGAACGGTCGAAAGTTGATGACTTGACCCTCCCTGGAACCAACATGGTTATGTGGATGGCACCCCCTGGTTTGGAGGATTTCATGTTCTTTTTTGTTGTCGGGGCCCATGCCATGCCAACCATGTGAGTTCCAGGGAGTGTACTTATTTTCGCCATGCCAGCCACTCTGCATCTATTCCACTCTGCTGGTGCAGAAAGCTCTCTGCATCTCAGGAACTGACACTTTACAAGCTCGACGTATCCACGACAGATCTGTTGACATCGCTCCTCCTTGGTGATGGTCACCACCACATCATCATCCTCCTGAACACCACGAGCCGGTGTGTTGCAAACGTGGCATCCTGGCATAGAGCCTTTCCTCAAAACCAGAACTGACCCTATCAACTCCCTGGTCCCACTCCACCGGTTTCTGCTTCAAAGAGTGATGAGATCTGTAATAGCTTCTTGTTACTACTAGTAAGGCACTTGTTACTACTAGCGAGGCACTTAAACTGGCAGGACCCAACAGTACGAGCCCATTCATCTGGCCCTTCACCACCGTCCTCAATCCAGGTCCCTTCGACCTGCCACGCCTGCGTTCCAGCCGAGCGAAGAAGCGAGCGAAAGGTGCTCGGGGTTTCCACGGAGCATTCCGAGAAAGGATGAGAAGAAAACAAGCGTCAAACATGTCTTTTTTGGTGTTTTTTTTGTGGTTCGGAACTGAGCTCGGTGCAGCTCCCAACCCAACTCCCCAATCAATTGAGCAATTCAAAGAAAACAAACGAAAGACACCGTGGAATTCGCTGTTTGCAGGTCGTCTCACGCACGGTGCCCCACCTGGGTGCCGCCCTTGGAGGGTGACAACTCGGATCTGGCGGGAGATGGAGGGAGGAACAGGGACAGTGGCTGAGCCTAAGGCTGTAAACGAGAAAAGAGTATTCCGAAGACCAGGAACTAAGCATCTTTCTTTCCTTTCCCTTTTGTACCTGTTCTTTCCTGGCTTTTCAATTTTGAGACCATTCTTTTTCCTTTCTACCACAGAGTTCTTGCAGAATGCTTCATTTCCACACCCTTTAAGGAACACCACTCAGAGCAAAACCGTCTGAGTAAGGACAGCTTCCACTCACACCAATCCGATCCGTCCTGCACTCGATCCGGCAAGCGCCCTCCGGCAACAGCAGGATCTCCCAGGTCACGTGATCCCCCGGACAGGAATGATCCGATTTCCTGGCGCCCCAAAACCACCGATGGAGGGATGGTATGCTCGCTGCAATGGCCTCCAACCTACTAGCGGCACTAGCGATGGTCTCCAACCTATAGGCAATAGTAGGAGGGAGAAGGGATGAGAAGGGATGATATGCTTGCTCGTACATCATCTAGATTTAGATGAATGAATAGAATAGATGTCCTCTCACTCAGAATCGATATGTCGGCAAAGATCAATCACATCGATGGCCCGCATTGCCAACATGGCGGCTGCCAAGCAGCGGAGCTTTGTGAAAAACCACTCTGTGAACTTGAAAGGCAAGAAAACACATGGCAAATCAAATGAAACTTCGTTCTTCTCCGATTGGAGGCCCGACACAGTCACATCTGCCTGCCCACGTATTTCCCCAATTTCACGCTGGGCTCCTGGGCTCCAAGAGTTGATTTTTCGATTCCACCCGAAACAAGAGGACGCTACTAGTAGCAAAGGGCATCGCTACTAGTAACAAGAAGCTATTAGAAACAAGTGCCTTACTAGTAGTAACAATTAGAATTTAATTAGAATTCCAATTAATAGCTTCTTGTTACTACTAGTAAGGCACTTGTTACTACTAGCGAGGCACTTGTAATTACTAGCAAAGAAATCTACTAGGACCTTTTTGCGCGCGCGCGCGCGGGGGGGGAGGACGCTACTAGTAGCAAAGGGCATCGCTACTAGGAACAAGAAGCTACTAGGTTGGCCATCGCTATTAAGTTAGGTCGACTTTCGGTCGAATCCTCTTGGAGCTGTTCGTTTCAGAATTCTGGCGGTGTGTTCCATGCCCCAATGCATGGGAGTACATTGAAATAGGGAAACCTCTCAGGCAACAACCCCCTGGAAGAAGGTGAGGAAGGGAATAAGTCTACCCAGTCTGTCTACCTTCAAATACACACCCATATCTTTAAATCAGCCCAGGTTCAACACGAGTTCGAAGGGGACGACGAATGCCATGTTGCCAAGTGCGGAAAACGAACACATCACAAACCAGCGGGATTCTCCAACGATCCGTGTGAGTTCTCCAAAAGACACACAGCGGGATTCTGGCATTCATCTTCACCTCAGAGTCCTATTGAAACCTGCGGTTGTTTCACTGGGCATCAACACCAGCTCCATACTCGCACCCTTCGCCCGCCACGCCGCCCCCTCCTGCTCCGGCGCCTCTTCCCCCCATCACCGGTCGGTCGCCCGAATGAAATGGGTGCCGTGGTTTGGCCAATCCGTGGGTTTTGGAGGTCTTCAAACGGCCCAAGATGCTGAAAGCTTCGCCCAAAAAGGCCAAGGTCGAGGAAGTCACTGCCAAGACGAGTCTTTGGAGAGGCTCCGTTTTCATGAACTCATTGCACAGCTCTGCTTCATGGTCTTCTTTGCACAGCTGTGTAGAGCCATAGAGCGTCGCATTGATTCGGATGCCACAAAGGTCACCATGAAGCTCGCTCGCGGGGATGCGTGGCATGTCGTCAATGTATAGCACGTCGCTACAACCTGAATGACCTCTATTTGCTCTGATGTCGCCCGAGCCGCCCCTGCCCACTGGGGTGACCGGCGAGAACGGAGGTACTTGGTGATCTGAGAGACGAAATCCCCCGCATGACTGGCGCCGCCAAGGGCGCGTCGCGCGTTGGCGTTGGCGCCGTGCATCCGAGCGAGCTTTGGAAGAAAAAGACAAGGAGCTTTCTACTAAAGCTTTCTGCTAGGAGAGAGGAACTACTACTAGTGGTGCCCTTTGCTACTAGTAGCTTCTTGTTACTATGCCCCTGTTCCCTGTAGAAAGGAGCAACAACTAGTACTCCATCTCCCCACATGATCGGAAGTCACCGTGAAAACTCCCGCTGAGGGTCCGGGGGATGTTTCAGGAAATACCGAGGTGACAAACGCGAGATGTGTCGCATTCTTGAGACTTTCCAAAAGAAGAAAGCTGACAACAAGAATAGAGGCATCTTCCTACTAGCAATAACCTAGTAGCGGCCTCCAACCTACTAATAGCGATAGCCTCCAACCTAAGAGCTTTTGGAAGTCATTACTTCCCACCTCAAAGCTGTGATGCCTTGCCACAACTCCTTTCCAGAGCCGCAACCTGGCAGAGACCGATGCAGGTCATCGCTTCCGCATTCTGGGTGAGTTTTGCTTCCCAGGTTCAACGACAAGCTGGAGATCTGTGGAAGATTCTAAGGTCGAGGAGCCATGGATCTCCTTGAGGTTTGAAGCCTGGAATATTCTTGTAAAACTTCCTGAGTGGAACTCCTGAAAGTAGGTACCGAACTTCTCGTGAGAAGATCTTGCAACAGGTTTCAAAGACGGAAGTTATAGAAAGCCTGGAAACACAACGGCGCCGAACCCAGCCACCTCTTTCCTACTCTTCACTGCCGGCGCTGCTCCTTGCCTTCGATGTACTGCTGGAAGCCATGCCACATACTTGGGAACATGGAGATGTAGACCTTGGCATCCACGTGACCCCACAATCGTTGGAAACTAGTTACTAGATGTTACTATAGTAAGTATAGTAGTTTTTTGTTACTAGTAGAAATGCCAGGAGCTACTAGTAGCTTCTTGCTACGTAGCAATGGCCTCCAACCTACTAGCTTCTTGCTACTAGTAGCGATGCACCTTACAGATTCCCAAGGCCCTTCAATTGCATCCCGTCACTTGGCACCACTTCTGGGAACCCCCACGCGCACCCCACGTTCGGCCGCCCTCTCCCCGAAGACTGTGCTATCACCTGCGGCCGGAGGGTTCACCCCCGTTGGGTTCAACGCTTCAAACCCAAAAGCCTCGTCCAGTCAGCCCACATCGCCGGCCCCGCGGCGCGGCCCCGGGGCCACCGCGCCTGTCATGACCTCGCTGCCGCTCACGGCCAGGTAGATCGGGGGCAACTCGTCCAGTTGCGCCTGACCGATCGCAGCGACCATCGCCGGACCATCGGCGCTGCGAAGGGGGACATCATCCGCTCGAAGGTCGATGCTTCGAAAGAAAGAACGCCAGGAGCAGAGGCCATTTTTTTTTGTGTTCCCTTTCTTTCAAAGAACGTTTGGAGTAAGTCTTTTGGATATCGCTCCACCCCAGCACCTGGCCTCTGTGGCGTGGAAGGGCGAGTAGAGAGGATCCGACAGCCTGGCGACCAAATGACCAGTATCCATCCCAGGTGAACGAACCGAACGAACCACCAAGGGGCCTTGTGGTGTCTTCGCATGGTGTGCTTCGACTCGTTTTGGACTTCATCCTCATTCCAGGTTCGAAAACGAACTCTGAGAATCAAAATGACTCACGAAGTGGATGACTCCCACCAGGTGGACCAGTCGTGTCCCCCGGCGCTTCGCCCGGTCCAGCCGAAGGCGCCTGGACCCCCCGTGGCGAACTTCCCCCCGCGCGCCCCACACACCTGCTGGCATCGCCCTGGAAGTACTTCAGCGCCAATTCCCGAAGCCTCACAAGGGCGATGCGGAAGATGTCCAAAGAAGGAGGACGCTGAAGAAAGAGATATGAATAGAGAGGTCCAGGTGTTCTTGTTCGTCAGGGGTTAAGTCCAGCGGCCTTGGAAACTGAATGAAACTCAGATAGTTCAGCTTTGATCTTCCCAAACAGACAGATTCAGTGCCTTTCTTGGCCACTCCTTGCCCCGAGTTGAGGGGAGGTCAAAACAATTAGTTGATTCAAGGTCTACATAGAAATGGATCAAGGTATATATCACACAATATGGATATATGCATACAGCATACCAGTCGGTTTCTTGCTTGATCTTCGAAGCTTGTCAAAGCTTCGAGCTTGAGACACCCAAGGGTGCGGCTTCATCTCTCGACCGGCGAAACAAGACCAACCCCATGGTCCCCATGGTACTTGGATTGGACCAGAAGACGGAGCAACCAAGCTTCCTTGAACAATCCACTTGAGCAAAATCAACCCGAAAATCGATGATGTCACGGTACGTCAGTGTGAAACCTGGTGTGAAACCAATCCTATAAATCAAAACTCTACTTCTACCACATGACGATCTCTCCCTCTCTTGCCTCGACATGCACCCTTTCGTCTTCTTGGATCCGTCAAACATGTCGGTGCGTCTTTTCGAGAAGCACCGTCTCCCCCGTTCCGAACCGGAGGAGGTTTCTGTCGCCGTTTGGGCGTCTTCTGCGGGCTCCCGGGCGAGTGGGACACGTTCGTGGGAGCGCCACGGAAGAGAATGTCGCCCACGATGATCTGTTTCGGTGAAGTGGTCCACATACCACCGGAGCGAACCAGGGGAGACGTGTCAGTTCTTACAACTTGCAGCCGGGGACAAGGCTCAAGATCTCTCCATAAAAAACGAACGAAAATCCTTGAAAGCTCTCAATGCATCCTAGACATCTTACGAGATTCTCATCATCCTGATCCATCTTGGAGCCAAGACATGTTGCCAACAGCGACCTAACATCGCTGTAGACCTCGGATCGCCCACCTTTCCAGCGACATCATTGACCACAGAGAAGGCATTGCTGTAGTACCTGCTTCGGTTTGGAGGCCACACCCGCTGCGACTTGCGACACCATGGCACTCGGACCCACACGGTGAATCCGAGCACCGTCGACGCCATCTGCGCACGTGGGAGAGTTGCAGGCGAGGTTGATCCAGGGACTAAAGGCGAAGAAGCCCGCCGCCAATGGAAGTCCCTGGTGCGCGGTGCGCGAGAAGGGCGAATTCGGTCACACTCCAACAGGAAGATAGGATGGGAAAGGCTTGATTCCGTTAAAGATGGGCAACTTGCTTCGACAGATCGGTGCAGAGACTGTAGCAAGGATGCTATTAGATCTATTAGATGGAGGCCATTGCAAGTAGCTTGGAGGCCATCGCTACGAGGAGCAAGAAGCTAATAGAAACAAGAATAACATAAGTTAAATTCAATTAGAATTGGAACTAGGAGCAAGTCTAGGACGCACCATGAGGGCCTTGGAGCTGAGCTGCAGCAGCATCGATAAGGCCGAGGCTCCGCCCGAGGAGTCGCCTTGCTGAGTCACCGAAAAGGCTCGGATTGAGTAGCTATTGGTGGCTAGAAGCTACTAGGAACAAGTGCATCGCTACTAGTAACAAGTGCCTTA